GATATCAAAAAAGTACTCCAGAGTGTTGTTCAGCATGGGGGTGAGTAGAAAATGAAGGCTAATCATGTTTTGGGTGTACTATTCCTTTAAGTCAGAACCAGCCTGACTTCACCATCAACTCACCAACCACTTCTTAATCTTGTTCCAAAGGATCTGAAACTCCACCAGTCCGAGCCGAGCACTGCCATCTTTCTGAGGTCCCATTAAGGTCCAGCCAACCCAAAGCAAAACATAAACCTCTAAAAAAGGAGGAGAGATTCTTCTACTGAACCCAGACTGAGTTAATGTGTGCTTTCACACTGACTGAACGCAGGTCTGACCCAGCCTATAGCTGGTTTAGATTGAGTCAGAAGTGATTCTGGTCTCTTTGAGGGAGGATACATCCATGAGGCTGACCATGGCCCTGCAGGACTCCATGCTGAATCCATCGGTCTGTAGGTCTCTGTCTGTAAAGACAACCACAAAACAAGAAGCATCTTAACACAGTGGAACCTGAGACCTTAACACCAATGAACTTCAGAGTGCAGTTTGACTCTGGGGGAAACTGTAATGGATGAAGTGGAATCAGAAGGCCTGCAGACCAATCTCCTCAGTCCTCTATGGTCAGATAAATCTTTAACAGGATGTTCTGCATCAACAGGGTCAATACTGTTATCTTGAGCCTGACTGCGATTGGCTCAATCACTCTCAATCATCAGATTTTAAAGTGACTCACGTTTGGAGACCACTCTGTTGAGGATGGTTCTGAGCTCACGCACTGAGATCTCCATGTCCTTTAAAAAGAAAGACTACTCAGACCTGAAACAAAGACTGGTAGGACATCAGAGACGCTCCTGAAACTGAACTCACGTCTCCAGAAAGCTGAGCAAACATGGACCTAAAGGAGTCATCGATGTCTCTTTCGGTGACTTCCTCCTGTGGACAGCGACAGACACATTAAGACAACATCAACAAACGAACCATCTCCAAGAATTAGCAACCTCCGCTCTCACCTCCTCGTCCAGGTTTGTAACAACGACATCATCCATGTCCCTGCAAAGAGATTCAAATAAACGTAACTAAGAGAAGACTGAACCGCAGATCCAGATTTTCTCCATGGTTCACACAGACTCACTCTGTCTCGGACTGCTTTTCAGTGAAAACTCTCAGGACAAAGTCCCCCTCCTTGGAGGGCTCAAACGTAGATGGGACGATCAGGTACTCTCCTGGAGGAAGGCGGAACCTGGAGCTCACCTCTCGAAGGTTGATGAAGGTCTCGGAGCGAGCGCAGGAAGAGCGGCGCAGGAAGAAATCCTTCTTCATGTGGACACCTGCAGAACCTTGGAACTACAGGATTGGCGGATGGAGAGTCATCAACATGAAGCCCAAAAGCAAATATGGGAAAATAAATGACAGGTTGAATCACTGACCTCTTTGGGAATCTGTGAAGGAGACAGAAAAAACAATTCTCAGTAGGCCAACATAACCGTCTTCAATGACAAAGCAGGAATCATCAGACCTCAATGCAACAGGACTGACAGGAGATTATGATGTTTAGTTCTATTTATCTGACTATAGCTGAGAAAATCAGTTACCATCTGAACTTATGGATGATGAAGATTTTAAATAGGCACATAAACAAGGTAATTGCTTCTCAGAAAGAGAAGTGTTTTGGCCAAACTCCATCTGTTCCCTCCTTAGTGAAAGGTAATGCTTCACACTGAAGGGAAAATTGGAGAGCTCTGGAGAAAACATCTCCATCAACGTCTCATACCACGACCCCCTGACCCTGGATAAATGGTGACTGGAAAAGATGGTGGACTTACTGGAAATGTTTACGAAAGGGTACAGGAT